TTTATTGTATTTTAAAATTTTAAACATAATGAAAATTCACCGTAATTATTTTAAATTATTGGCAATAGTGGAACTGTATTTACTTGGTATTGGATCAATACCAAATTTTGCAGTATCGCACACCACTTGTGCGGAGCTTAAATGAGATCCTGGTATTTAAATACATATTTACTGTACACAGAAATATTTTTTAACTTTTATTTAAATATATACATCTTGACTGACTGACTGCTTTAAAGGATCCCACCTTCAGCCACTGCCCATAGCATCATGCACCTGACTTTTATGGCTCTTCCTGCAGGTGGTGGGCCCACAGGAAAGAAAATCCATGTTGCTGGGCCCCATGAGTAGAGACCTGGTCACCAGGCATTTGCCAACGAGCCCCTCCACCAGGCCTGGCTCCAGGGTGGGGCCCCAGTAACCCACGTCCAGGCAAGGGACACTGAGTTTCTTGTTTTTTTCCTGTCCATATCAACCTTTATTTCTACAGGTAAATCCCATTGAGCCTCGAGGACTCATTTACAAGAGAGACCTGATTTAACAAAGAAAGATGACAACAATGGACAACAGCAACAACAATAAACAGTTATAAAAAGTCATACTACAGGTTTTTTTTTTTTTTTTTTTTTACAAATAGGATGGCTAAAAGGAAAAGGTAACAAAAAACAGCTAGATTCCAAGACAAATGTAGAAAACTAAAAACAGGAACATGTCTGCATTGGTCCCTGCCAGGTGTCCAACAGATTCTTAAAGCCACTTAGAGAGGTCAAAGGTCGAGAGCTTCAAATCTTTTTGTAAGATGTTCCAGGAAACAGGAGCGGAGTAGGAGAAGGCCCTTTTGTCTAGTTCAGTCCTCACTGAGGGAACACTGCAGGTAATGATGTCCTGAGAGCGCACGCTGTAGCTGCACTCACGCAGAGACATGTAGGAGGAGATGTATGAAGGCAACAGACCAAGAAGTGATTTAAAGATGAAAATGTACCAGTGGGAGAGTCTGTGTGGAGTTAATGGTGACCAGTTAACCAGTGAATACTGGGTGCAGTGGTGGGTACGATAATCACAGCCAGTTATGAATCTTAGTGCACCATGATAGACAGCATCCAACATCTGCAGCATCCAACATCTGCAGGGTTCTTGTAGGAGCGTTCATGTAAATAATGTCACCATAATCAATGGAGGGAAGGAAAGTCACAGATACAAGGTGTTTTCTAGCATTCAGAGTTAAACAGGATCTGTTTCTGAAAAAGAAACCCAGTTTAACTTTCAGTTTCTTTACCAAGTTTTCCACATGGAGCTTAAAAGAGATGTGAGTCGACCAAGATACCCAAATATTTATAGGAATCAACAAACTCAATGGGGACACCATTTGAGGATAAAATCGGAGGAAGAACTGCTGGGACCAACTTCCTATTTGAAAAAAGCATCCCTTTGGTTTTATCAGCATTTAGGACAAGTTTGAGGTGAAACAAATCAGTCTGGATGTAGTTGAATGCAGATTTCAAAAGCTGGAAAGCCTTAGCAACAGTTTTAGCTCGACAATAAACAACTGTGTCGTCAGCATAGAAATGTATGGATGCATTAGGGATGTTTTTACCTACATTATGTATGTAGATTGTAAAGAGGGTGGGTCCTAAGACTGAGCCTTGTGGTACACCATTGTTGACTGTTAAATAACTGGAGGAAGTACCATTATGTTGAACACATTGCCTCCGGTCTGAAAGATAGTTAGAGAACCAACCAATGGTGTGATCTGAGAAACCGATTTCTGAGAGTTTATGACACAAGATGTTCTGATCCACAGAGTCAGAATCTTTAGACAGGTCTAAGAAAAGTGCAGCACAATAATCCTTAGCATCCAGTGCTTCAACAACATCATTAAGAACCTTCAGTGAAGCAGTGGTTGTGCTGTGTTGTTTCCTGAAACCAGATTGATGTGGAGGTAAGATGTTAAATGAGTCCAGGTAATTTTTGATTTGAGAGTTTATCAGTTTTTCTAGAACCTTGGCTAAAATGCAGAGTTTAGAGATTGGTTGATAGTTCAGTGAGGTGGGGTCTCCTCCCTTCAGCAAAGAAGAACAAAGGCTGTTTTCAAGTGTCTGGATGGAGTTTTGTCTTATGGAGAGATTGAAGATGTGGGTCACAGGGACTGTGATGATATGAGCAGCCAGCCTTAAGAAATAAGGTGGAAGTTCATCTGGACCTGCAGATTTTTTAGGATCAAGATCTTTTAACAGTTTATTGACCTCACTGACTGAGAAAAAGAGAAGGTGTGATTAACTGAGGATTGACTTGTAGGAGGGATTTGATTTGTAGAAGTTTGGTTATTAAGTGAAGTGGCTGATCTTCCATTAGTAACTGTGTCAAATAAAGAACCAGAAGCAACAAAATGTTTGTTGAAACAGTTCAGGATCTCGTGCTTATTTGACACAGGAACAGAGTTAACGAGAAGTTGTGATGGGAGGTCAGATGATTGGGGGGTGCCTGAGAGAGATTTGATGGTTTTCCAGAATCTGTTAGGGTCATTTAGATTTTTGGAGGTCTGAGATAAGAAATAGTTGTGTTTTGCTGCTTTGACAGCAGTTGTACATTTATTCCTCATCTGTCGAAAACTCAACCAATCAGTGTCTGAGTCAGATTTTCTCGCTGTGGCCCAAAGGTGATCTCTCCTGTGTAGGAGGTCAGCTAGCTCTGGAGTAAACCAGGGGCTGTCTCGTCCCTTTATTCTGAACTGACGAAAAGGAGCATGTATGTTCACAAAATAAATGAAACTATTATGAAAATAGTTCCAAGCAGAGTTTACGTCATCAGTTAACAGAATACGATGCCAGTCAAAGTGAGACAGATCCCAGAGGAATGACTGTTAACAAAAACGTTTCAGATCCCTTTTTTGAATTAATCCCTTTTTTCCCCATATAATCCCCATATAAAAGTCTTGTAAATAAAAATCAATTAAAAAAAATCAATAAACATCAACGGTACAAATTTAATGAATATTTACTGCATTCTACTGGTACTATTTGACTTCTGGTCACATGACCTACATAAAGGCTCCAGTATACTCGCACAGACCTTTTGCCACGCGGACTCTACGTGCACTGTCCACAGAGGGTTGAGACTTCCTACTCAACCATCCCCCCTGAGCAGCTGCAGTCAGCTCCGCAGACAAGGGGCATTTACCTTCTGGACAAATTGCGGTTGCTGATTAGTCATTTGCTGACACGCCCAGTGGATTGATTGACAGGTCGCAAAAGAAAAACGAGAGCTGGCAGCCCCAGCCGCAGCGGTGTTCTGTGTTTATATGCTTAGATAGAGAACTTTACTAATTGGCTTTTCTATGTATGTGAATGTTTCTGTAAAGTTACCTGAGACAACTTTGTTGTGATTTGGAGCTATATAAATAAACTGAATTGAATTGAAATAATAAAACGTTCTCAAAAATAAAAAAAAACAGGGAGCACTGGCCCTGCAACCCATACATCAGACCAGCCCACCGGGAAATCTCCAGACCCTCTTGCAGCCACGCTGGACCTGATTTTAATTTGCTTGTGACAAATTCCTTCATTTCTCACCATTTCAGTATGGCGCCAACGGAGGAGGAGAAAGAGACCGCTTGTCTTTTAGCAAAAAAAAAAAAAAAGGCCATTAAACCAGACCAGGGATGAAGAAGGGGAATTTAATACATTGGTGTCGCATACAAAACAGTCCGTCGCTGGGTAGTTTATTGCGCAACACGGAGTATGCGTAAGCGGTCGTAAAAATTGAGCTTTGAATGGACATGCTCTGCGGGCGTCCGCTTTGATTCTAATCCGGTATGCGCAGACATCCATGGACTGACGTACACACGAGTATACTGGAGCCTTAAGACTGGGTTTTACCGGTAAATAATTTTAAAATAATTTCCGTTACCTAGGTGTTTGGCTTTGTTCTGTCCAGTGATTATGCTTATTTAGTTATTGTGTTCATTTAAAGGTTTTAACCACGAGTCAGACAGCAAAACTTCATAAAGACTTGTGATGATCTTGCAGTCTGAAGGTGTGTTGAAAGCAAGCTATATTCTGTGAAACACCATCTGCTGGCTGACTTTTGTACCAGAAGAAGAAAGCTGCACACTATGCCAGAGCAGTCTGGGGGCACAGATTCTGACGATTAATGGTGGATGCCTGTAGCTAAATAAACAGAGCTTGTTATTTATGCACAAAATTATGATTTATCTTATATTTAATAAGTGCAGCTTAGAGACTGTTGCGTTCTAAAGCCTGACAATTACGGTAGTAAGTATTAGTTTATGTTATTATATACGTATATATATATATATATACATAT